TTATGAAAACATGAATGATCATTTCTTTTAATTAGGTGCGCTGTCGCCCTTTCTACGTAAAAAAACAGTCAAATCATGTAATGTGAATGTCGTATAGTCTTGCTCGAGACTAAAAAAACGAGTTGAAAGCGTACCGCGGAAGAGACACTGTTTCTCAAGCGCTTTCCGCGAGCGCAATTCGAGACGGAGTGAAACACGGACAAATGCGTTTCATCTTTCAAAAAAAGATGCATCGTTAATCGTTTTATCATCGCATCGCAGCCCTCTGAATCGGAATCGAATCGAATCGAATCGTGAGGTGCCTAGAGATTCCCACCCCTACTAAATAATATTATTTGCTCATGTTGTTCCAACCCCATATGCAGTTGTTTTTTTTTTTTATGGAACACAAATCAAACTGAAGAAAAATCTATATGAAGATTATTTTTTAAAGAATTTGGTGAAAATAACAGATAATAAAAAATAATTTTCATTAATGGATGAACTGTTATTTTAAGAACTGTACAGTGAAAGCATTCTAGCGCTTGTGTTTCTCAGCTCTTTTTCAGTTTCTAAAGTTTAGAATAAACAAGGGGCCACTACGTTCAGCTCCACCTATGGAAATTAGTTTGAGAGGTAATTTCAAAGATTGTTTTGCTTGTTGGATAAAACTTAAACAGTCCGTTAATGCCTCTTGGACTCAAGGCCGAAATTATTTCCTTCTCTCTTTAGTCTTTTGTGTTATTTCACTGACCTGGTATATTCCTGTAGTTATTCACAAGCTGGCAACTGTGAATAGTGTTTTAAGCAAAGCTTTAAGAGATTTTGGCAATCAGAACGCAGAGAAGTAAATGACCTAATCTGTTTTCCTTTCTAAATGGCTGCATGGGGAATAAGAGCGAATGAAAGCAGAGTCACAGGCTTGGGATCTGCTCCTGACACTCATGCCAAGTCGGCCAACTATGTCATTATGACCATTTCTGCAAAGCTTTTTTTAAAATCAGAATGCTTCGGCAGGCGAAAACAGAGAGGCTAAGTCAGCAAACTGCCCTTGAAACATAGGATACACAAGCTACACGAAGCAGCCATATTGTTGTTTTACTACACACTTTCAGTTTTGCAAAATCTTGACCTCAGTTAGCCTCTGCATTTCGGAACTGACCGGTGTTCTTTGCAATAAGAGCACAGCATACAAAATAAAAGATATACTTTTTATGTACTCGATGTGATTAAGACACTTTTTGAGTGAGTTAATTTGGAAGTTCTTCTTCTGGAAAACTGTTCTAGCATATTGTTCTTCTTCTTGGAAAACTGTTCTAGCATATTGTGATTTTTTTTGATTATTCACACACTGCTAGGGCTTTCCTTATCCTGGTAATATTACTAGGGTCTGATGCCGGAATCTAATTTGGTAGTTCTGGGTATTTTCCAGAATCAGAGCCTTGTGTGAATGCAACTTATGATTTATGTCTGCCAACATACAGTGATTTAAAAAAATATTTTGTTATTAATCTTTTTATTTGATTTGATTTTTGTTTTATTTTACCTTTTTATTAACAGAAATTCCCATTGAGATCAAACATTTCGGTAGCACTTTATTTTAAGGGCCAATTCTCACTTTTGACTAGTTGCTTATTAACATCCATATTACTAGCATATTGGCTGTTTATTAGTACTTAAAAAACATATTAATGCCTTATTCTGCATGACAATATTTTAGATCCCTTAATCCTACCACATACCTAAACTTAACAACTACTTTACTAACTCTTAAATAGGAAATTAGGAATTAGGAATTTATAGTAGCAAAAGTCATAGTTAGAAGTTAATAGTGAGAATTGGTGCCAAAACAAAAGTGTGACCAAAATGTCTTCTACGAAAGAGACCTGACCAGGGTAGCAGCCATACAAACAAGATTAAAATATAACACATACAACGTGATATCCAAAAACCATTATGATGTTTACAGCTAGTTGCCACCTGTTATAAAACAGAAAAAAGTGAAAACACAAAATAAATATAAAGATAAATTTGATTAGTAGCATAATTTATTTATTGATTTATTTCAGAATTTCTATAGATATCATTTAGGGCTGTCAATTTAACATGTTAATGTAATTAGTTATGGAAAAATAACTCGATTCAAATGTTTCAACACAGTTATCGCACCCGACCCAGATCTGTACATCATCTTACATTTCATACAGTTGACTGTTGACAAACATGATGCAGCGCAACAACTCACTGTGTGATGTAGTCTGTAAATGCAGTAAATGCTCCTAAAATTCAATATATTGGAGCAAAAATTGCCCCTTAATGAGTTTTTGTCTCATATTGTCATATTATAAGCAATATCACACGAGCAGCGAGAGCTGTATCACACGAGTGCTGTTTTTGTCCTGAATAGCATGAGCGCAAATGTGATTTTATACAAGGGTTCAGTAAATGAGGAGCTAATATTGTGTTCTATATTTTTGCTCAATTTTCCCAACGAAAATATTACCTATAAAGAAACAGCAGACCTGTTGTGTGTCTCTTAACAACACAGTAGTGATTAGTTTCTAAATGAATCTGCATTTTGGATGAATCGTGTGAACCAATGATCCAGTGGCCCAATCATAAAGAGAGCCATTTATGTAATTCCTCAATGAAATTAAAGGGATAGTTTGCCCAGAAATGAAATTCTGTCATCATTTACTCACCCTTATGTCGTTCCAACCTGTATGACTTGCTTTCTAGTAGAAAGCAGAAACAACATAAAGACAGTATATTTTTAATATTTTTTTAATGACATCTTTTTTGTGATTGTATCGCTGATACCAATACTACTGATGTCTCTATGAAATAGTTTTTTCCCCCTAATATTTAACCATTGGCTATAGCCATTTAACATTACAGTATAACTGAGAGATATCAATTTTAATGTTTATTAGACTTTTAAAAAAATAACAACTTCTAATTTAAGTTAACTTAAAGGAGACATATTATGCCCCTTTTTACAATATGTAATATAAGTCTCTGGTGTCCCCAGAATGTGTCTGTGAAGTTTCAGCTCAAAATACTCCACAGATCATTTATTATATCATTTTGAAAATGCCTATTTTGAGTGGAAGCAGAAACACGCTGTTTTTTGGGCCTGTGTCTTTAAATGCAAATGAGCTACTGCTCCCTGCCCCCTTTTCCAGAATAGCGCTGCTCCATTACAGCTCGTACCTGCTAAAAAATCTGTTTTGGTTCTGATTATCATGTTTATCGCGCTGAAATCATGCGTTTTGACAGAACAGTTAGCGTGTTTTGCTCAAACTTTCGTCATGACATTAGAACAGGTACACCGTTGTCGCTTGTGAAATCAAAATGACAGCGCCGTGGTTGAAAATTTACAGATTAAGGGGAGGTAATATTATAATGAGATCCCTTTGCCACGTCACCAAGGGAGTGAAATCAGACATGCTCGTTTTCTCAGACACTTGCAGAAAAAGGCTTACCAAAACAAAGTTACTGGGTTAAGCTTTTTCACGTTTCCTTGGTTGGTAGATGCACCGGGGACCTGATTATAGCACTTAAAACCTGGAAAAGTCCGATTTTCATGATATGTCACCTTTAAAACAATCTTCACATAAACCCATTATAATAAATGTCATAGCCTATTTACCTGTGCCCTTCAGCAAGTAGGAAATATACAGAAATTGAATAAAGTTATCAAACACTAAATTCTAAATTAAATATAGGTGAATCCTTAAAGGCACAAAAGTTATTGATTTCCTCTTTTTTTCTTTTGTTCTTTGATTAACAGACATCACAGCAGGTGGGTTATTAGGTTATTTTGGCTGCTTTAAGAGCTGCCGCTGCTGAACATGACGTGGATCTGCCACATATTGTATTTTCTCACTTTTTACCTTTTTTACCTTTACCCTTTACCACTCTTTACCAAAGTCTCTACTAATGAGCTGAATCAGGTGTGTTAGATTAGGGAGACGGTGCTGGGCTGCTACAGACCAGGACAGTTCTGAAAACCACTGCATTTCAGAGACATGTTCTTAAATATGACTCATACAATACAACAAATAATGTCATAAGGTCATACCAGCGAGCAACTTCATTTGTTTGTGCAATTGAAGAGCATGTGCATGCTATAACGGCTGAGGACAGGAAAATTAGTTTTTACTGACATATGTCCTGACAACATCTCATCTGCCCGCAGTTCACTGTTCTACTCGAGCTCTCTCGTCACCTGTAGCTTTTCCGTGCTTGTTGGAGTCACACGTCTGAAAAGTCTTATGTTTTATGTGGTCGTAAAGACATTCTGCGTCTAAATGAAAGCAATTCTTGTCAAGAAAAGCAGCAGTTGTGAGTGGTGTGGCCAACCCTAGCTCCATCCCTGCATTAATTGCGTTAAATATTTGTAATGCGTTAAACTGAAAAAATTAATCGCATGCGTTAACATGCTAATTTTGACAGCTCTAAATAAAATATTTATTTCCAAAGCTACTTTTTGTAATGTCTACTTGATACTTTTCTCTTTAACGCAATAATGGCTTTAAAGTACCTTTATGAGGTATTTTCACAGCCAAATTTAATATGCAATTAATTTATTTAATCGCCACATCATGTAATTAATTAGATTAAAAATTTTAATCTACTGACAGCCCTAATATCATAATAATATTATTGTGAATTCTTCTGGCTACAATAATCATGTAGTGAAATTTTTATATTGCTACAGCTTTATTATAATGTAATATTCACTGCAATTTGTACGCCATCCAGGTTTAGCAGCAAGAAAACTTCTTCCTTGTCCAAACCCAAATCAACACCAGATCATATTTCTTTGCCGCCAATGCATCTCATTTGGGATCAGATTTTCAAAACTATGATGAGTTACACAGCCCACGATAACATTAGGAAATCCAGCAGCTACAAGTGAACAACATTACGCTGATAAAATCAGTGTGAACAAGGTATAACACAGATTCTTCATCATCATGTTGGCCTAAAATGGTTTATTTTGCATCTCTCAACAGATGCTCCCAAAAGAATTCCCCAGAATATGCGGGCTGTACAGGGAATTTCGTTTGATGATTACAACTGTCACATACCTGTTTGTAGAAATACTGTGCACGGACATAACCAGACAAGGTAGGGATGAGATCCTGTCAAACACGCTGACCCCTTCCCTGTGTTTTCCATGAGAAGTCTCTGCTATCTCTGGCATCGCTGTGTAAATAACCTTTGTCAACAGAAGTGCTTGTATGCGTATGCAGCTGATCACATTCTTCTCAGACTCATGCAACTCTCACAGCCAGATTTAGCGCTTTTCCTAAGGCATTGTCTAACACGATACAATTTCTAAAGACTCTGGAAATGGTTGGGAGATGTTTGTGTCTGGGTGTCCGTGGTAATGATTAGGTAGCAGAGAAACGCACATCGCTTAGACTGTTGTTTTTGTTTGCCTGAAACTTGATGGACACCACTTTGCTTGGAAACGGTCATTCCGAAGCCATTGAAAAAGTGCTTGAAGTGCTCTTAAAATGATAATTGTTAGGCTTCGTCCATGTGAACAAACCTATATTTGATTAAAACATTGTTTATAGGCTGTGCTCTGCTGGCCCTTGGCCCAGTGATTTTGAAGTTTTCGCTCAACAAAAAGGTCAAACAATAGTGGCTGTAAAGGGCAAGTTCTAGCTTTCCACACGGTTCTTCTGTAGTCTTTGTGTGGAATGTAGGGATGTAACGATTAACCGCGAGCCGGTTGGAAATCGATTTAAATATGTGACGATTCAAATCGGTTGAGATGCTAAACCAATCGCGATGAGTGAATCGTTACATCCCTAGCGGAATGTGTTTATTCACTCTTTAAAGGTCAGAACCAATTATATTAGGACACTCTTTGAATATTGGACTAGTGAAGTTCATGTTATATCTATACACAACGTTAACAAAACGTTAACATTAATACTTACATTACTAAACAAATAAATAAAAAGGAGAACATGAGTTTATCTGGTGAGTTTGTAATAGCAATATTGTAAATTCCACAACACATTAAACTTTCGACACGTTTCAGGCATGTTTATGATCAGAAGTGAGAAAGAAAATTTCAAGAAAAACATTAAAGTAATTAACCAGTACTTCTAACAACATACAATTCGGAATGGGTCATACCTTTATGGTGCTTTTTGGAGAAGAACGAGGCCAAGTCATATATAAATAATGACAGGATTTTTATTTTTGGATGAACTATTTTATAAATACAGTTTGTATTTGGTGTGAAAAGGCCTTGGTTGCGTTTTACTTTACCTCCTTGTTAAGTAACGTAAATATCTGTGCCATCATGTCACAAACAGCCTTTATCAGATCACAGTCTCACGATGACTGTGTTTTCTCCCCCTTGTAGTTGAGGTGGTGGTGGAGTATGAGTATGAAGCCGCCCACGAAGATGAGTTGACCCTCAGGCTTGGAGATGTGATCAAAAACGTGCGACGAATTGAGGAAGAGGGATGGATGGAAGGAGACCTCAACGGGAAACGAGGCGTTTTCCCGGACAACTTTGTAAAGGTAATTTCAAGAAATGTTTTTTAAATGTAATTTAATATATTGGCTTTATGTAAGGTGTTGTAAGGAAATAATGGAAGTAGGCATGGGCTGGTATGAGATTTTGACGGTGTGATAACCTTAAGCAAAAATATCATGGTTTCACTGTATCACGGTATTGTCGTTGCAGCTCTAAAATGTGTTTTTTAAACTGACTGGGTAAAGAAAAAAAAAAGAAACATTTTTTTCCCACTGAACACAATATATTTTATTTTTGAGCAACATACAGAATGTTAGGAACAGTAGAATTTGTTTATTTTTTCTTTGATTTGTTTCCTAAAAAGAAGAAAAATAAAGACTGACATCTTTATTTAACCTAAATCTGTAATTACAGTTATTTAATTTTAGTTATATAATTCGTATACATATCATTTATATAATTTCATATCATTCATT